TATTATCTGACATAGATTATGTCAGTGAGATATGATGGTAATGGTTCAGTGAGGGAGTACATCTATAAGATGTGCAAGCTGGTTAATGATCTGAGGTAGTAGAGAATCATATTTGCTAATAAGTTAATTAGTCCGCATGATGATCTATTCTCTGCTTAGGTTTTTCCAGCTTTTCAAGATGAATTATAATTCACAAGAAGTTAAATGTGGCATTAACCAGCTGTTAGCATTTTGTGTTATTGAATGGAAACGACTCAATGGTGTTAAAACTGAGTCAGCGTATCTTGCGGTGATAGTAAGAATAGTTTTAAGAAGAAACTAGGCAGCAAGAAAGTGTGTAAGGCTAATAAAGAAAGGCAGAACAATACATGAAAAGACATTGATCATAGAATGATAAATGTTAGTTCTGTAGAAATAAAAGGACATCAAAAGAAAAGATTATTGTGGTGGAAAAGAAAACCAAAGTAGGAAAAGAAAATTCCCATATCAATAGTTGAGCATAACCTGGTAAAAGTATAGATATAGACATGGTGGATGGATTCGGGTGTGATCCTACTTGTTTCTTATTTTTCTATAGACTCGATATCTTCCGAATAAAATCGTGATTTGCTTAGAGGGGATTCATCTGTGCTATGCATAGGATATGGGGGAATGTCTCTCCAAAGAGACTTAAACGCTTGGTCAAGGATGCGATTATTGGGCTGCCACAAATTTTATGCGTTGGTTGTGTCAAAGGATAGATGCTAAGAAACGCAATTTTAAGGTTAGTCGATTATTTGGTTTTTTGGACTATATTTATACCGAAATTTGTGGTCCATTTTTATTGTAGCGACAAAGGTATTTCATTGTCTTCATTGATAAGTTCTCAATGTATGATTGTATAATTAATCCACCAGAAGTCCGAAACACTTGATGTGTGTAAAAACTTCTAGACTAAAGTTGAAAGTAGTTGGTATAAAGATTATGGTTTTAAAATCGGACAAAGGTGGTAAGTTTTATTGGGAGAATGGTAAGGAGGGTGTAAATTGTAGTACTTTCAGTACATACTTAAAGAGTAGGGCATTGTGCCACAGTACACCATTCCTAGTTCTCCTGGGCAAAATAAAGTTACAGAAAAGAAAGTGTGGGGATGTCTTATAGAGATAGAGTTATATAATGAAGATATTAAAGAGCTTAATACTCACATTACCAATGATTATTTTATTAGACATCTTAAAAGATTAAAGAATTTGAGATTTTACTATCCTGTAGACCTATGGAGATTATTGGAATATGTCATGAATATTTAATGAGAGTGGCGAATCCAGTGAGAGTTTAAGATATTGTAGTTTCTTTTGCAGAAAAGTATTTTCAGCATCTATTCTATTTATTTCAGACTTTATTCCACTTTCTATAGTGGTTTCAGTTAAAGCTCTAATTCCCACTCTTTCAATTATTCCCACTCATTTAGTTATTTCTTCTTTGTAGGCTTTTCTTTTAGTTTCTAATCTAGTTCCTAAGCCAGTTTAGCTTAGGAGATCTTCTAGAGCTTGGAAGTATACTGTAGTTGGTGATTTTGAGGTGTCTGGTGGATATAAGACAAAATTGGTGGTCAAGTGCTTAAGCAAAAGTGAAGTGTTGTTTTCTTTGAGATTATTTTCCGGTTTCATTAAAGAACTCTTTAAGAGTGATTCTTTTATTATCACTCATTTATGGCTTAAATAAGTTTTACAGCAGTAGTATCCAAAATTTTGATACAGTGGTTACTAATTGTAAGTTCAAAGAGAATGTTATGGATGAATGCATATACCTTAAGTTCAGTGGGAGTCATTTTGTTTTCCTTATCCTATTTGTTGATATTTTGCAAGGTAACAATAACATTCATGTGATACATGATATTAAGAATTTTATGTAAAGAATTGACATGAGTATGCAAAGTATGTTCTTGGCATTAGGATCCATAGAGAACACGCTACAGGAATACTTAGACTTTCTCTAAAGGCTTATATTAATTAAATATATGAAACAATTTAAGGGTAATTAAGCGTAGTAAGCCCATTGACATAAAGTACATTTTCCAGCATGAGAAGGTTAGGGTTGAAGTGTCATTAAGATTTTCCTATATGGTTACAGAAAGATTGTTGCAAATCCTTTTACTAAAGTCTTCAGCCGAAGATAATAAAGTATTTAAAGAGCACGTGATTCGGATAGGTGTTCGAGAGTCATTATGGTATGATGGCTTGTATTTCTTTTGTATATGCTACATTATAGTTAGTTTCTTTACGACTTGTGGTGACAGTTATTTTTACTCCAGTTTATGCCTTATGGTGACAGTTATTTGCATCCAAAATAAAGTTATGATGCATAATTATTATTATCTTGATATATATGGTTTATGCACGTACTATTATATTTGCCTAGAGTGATATTTCACTCATGAGGTTGTTTAGGTTAGATGTGAGATTGGTACCACATCGATAAATCCAAAATAATTATTAAAGGTTGTCTGAGAGTGATAATTCACTCATACAGTTGTTTAGGCTAGATATGAGATTGACGCCATATCGATAAATCCAAATGTAAGATTTGTCTAGGAGTGGTATTTCACTCATGAGCTTGTTTGGATTAGATGTGAGATTGACACCACATTAGTAAATCCAAACATAAATATTAAATTTTGCATGTGGGAGTTTTTTCACACTCCATAAGGATAACTTGGGCTAGATATGGGATTGACTCCATATCGGTAAACCCTCACACTGAACAGAAGGTTAGCGGTTTGCTTTAATATGTTTAGGTGACATATCGCGATGGTATGAAGTAGGATGGATAGCTTGGGCTAGATATGGGATTGGCTCCATATCGGTAAACCCTCACACTGAACAGAAGGTTGGCGGTTCGCTGTAATATGTTCAGGTGACATACCGCGATGGTATGAAGTAGGACGGATGGTGAGGTGTACGTTTAGACCCCATGCAGTTTGCACATCTCATGAAATACAGTAGAACCACTATATTTGCTTGAATCCTAGATGGAATCAGTTTTGAGACCATGGAACTGTTTAGACTAATATATTACTTGTCTACGCATTCATGATCTACTATTGAGGAAATTTATGGAGGAGAGTGTTCTAAAGTTTTAATCCATCAATTTCGATAATTGTGTTTTCTAAATAAAAATGAGTGGCCACTCGACTTTTATAAAGTATGTTGCAATCCATAGTGTCATTTTATAAAACTTAGAGTGCATGGACCAAGTGGGAGATTGTTGGAATTTATATATATATATTTAAATAATAAAAATTATTTTATGGTCCTATGTACTACGTTTTCTAAAATAGGATTGCAACGTGATTATTGATACTTGATGAATTGGGTTATACTTTCTAATTTGGTGGTCTAATTGGGAGTATGGTTTTATATCATTGGAGTGTGGTTTTCCAACTTATTTGGTGTGATTTATTTCTAACCATTGATATCTAAGTTTCCATGATATGAAGGGAGACTTAGGTATGTTTATTTGTAGAGAAGCCGTCCCCCCCCCCCCCCCCCTCTCCTGTTGTTGTTATATATATAAAGGTTTTAAAACCCTTATTCAGACCTATCGTATCGACAACTCTCAGAAGGGGGTAAAACGCTCTAATGTTTTGCAGGAATTCACAGAGGATTATATGGATATTCTAAAGGTATTTGCGATTTAATCATCAATCAGGTACGAACCTAAATTCTCTATTTAATTAATTGTAATATTCTTGATTTCTACCTGTGAATTATTTATTTAAAACCAAACAGGGTTTGCTTGCTAAAATCCTGGTGTCATCTCTAACTTTATACTTTACTTTATTTTATCTGCATGTGATTAACTGTTTAATTGCTAAAATATAAAATAAGTAAAGTCGTTAAGGACACAGATCTGTTTCACAAAACAAACAAAAACTTTCTAAGTAATTTTCGTTGCGTACGACTCACAGGGACGTCTTTATATTTTAAAAGTCGAATCTGTGTTCCAAATGATGTTTCTTTGAAAAAAGATATTTTAGATGAAACCTAAAGTTCTTATTATGCTTTGCATCTAGGGAGTACTAAAATGTACAGGGATTTGAAGGAATACTACTGGTAGAACAATATAAAGCGTGAAATTGCAAAATTTGTAGCAAAGTGTTTGATATGTCAACGAGTGAAAGCTGAACATCAGAAACCAGCGAGGTTGTTGTAGCCGTTGCTAGTTCTACAGTGGAAGTGGGAGCATGTAACATAGAGTATCCATTCCAATTTTTTTTTTTTTTAATAGATTTTCTTATTGATATACAGCATGCTTGAGTTGAATAGGTAAGCTATGGGTGATGTGTTCCATTTATGATCAAATCTTTCAATTAATAAAATATAAACTTAGACCAAGTCTCAATCTCTGGAAGGGTTACTAACATTTGCCACACTCACACTTATCTGATTCTTAATTTCGAAAAGCAATGTCAGTGTCATTTGTACGTTGGAATTTTTTTAAAATAAAAATTATTCTATGGTCTTAATTAAGCACTATATTTTGTAAAAATAGATTTTAACATGATTATCAATAGATCTTCTAGAAATTCTCAAAAGTACTGTAATGTTTAATCATGAATCACTAATCAGGTACGATTGTTATTATTATTATTTTAAAACTTTACTACAAGCACTATTCTTGATTTATTTAAGTTGATAATATATATAAACATTATCTCAATAATTCTACGACACAATCAAGGAGGACAGATTCTCTAAATTCAGAGTTTTAGTTATACAATGACCCAGTCATAGTATATATATTGCCAAAACGAATAGCTCTAAATACATGCATAATTTAATTTGGATGTCAGCATTTTGGCCACGGTAGAGGCATTACAATGCCATAAGTCGGCCATGCATGTTCTTTCTTCTTGGCATTAGAATTCTATAAATAGGCATCATTTTTTAGCTAATTCTGCACTTCAGTGAGCTACCTTCAAGAAATTCAACTACTAAAATCGAGTCAAAAAAGTCGTAATGGCCCACATCATTGTCATTACCATCCTTGCAATACTTTTCACTTCTATTTTCGCAAAGGAATTTATTGTTGGGGATGACAATGGTTGGACCCCTTACTTCAATTACCAAGCCTGGGCTAAGGGAAAGGAGTTTGTGATCGGAGACAAACTAGGTACTTCAGCTCTTTCAATACTCTATCTCTACTAGTTCGTAATTCTCTATAACATTGCTTGCTATTTTGATTTTGCTTGTTAAGAAACTGCAAAATTCTAGATTGTGAAAATATTGTTTGATGACATAAATTTTTCGGATGCAGCTTTCAACTATCCGGTAGGAGCTCACAATGTCTTCAAAGTCAATGGAGCTGGCTTCCAAGAGTGCATCAAGCCACCTCTTAGTGAGGCTCTGACCACCGGAAGTGATGTGATCACCCTTGCCACCCCGGGGAGAAAATGGTATATTTGTGATGTTGCCAAGCATTGTGCGGTTGGAAATCAGAAGCTCATCATAACTGTTCTGCCTCAATCTACATCTCCAGCATATGAGTCTGCAATGAAATTTGTCGTTGGGGATGACAATGGTTGGACCCCTTACTTCAATTATCAAGCTTGGGCCGAGGGAAAGAAGTTTGTGGTCAGAGACAAACTAGGTACTTAAGCTTTTTCAATACTCTATCTCTACTAGTTCGTAATTCTCTAACATTGCTTGCTATTTTGATTTTGTTCATTAAGAAAACTGCAAAATTAATATAGATTGTGAAAATATTGTTTGATAACATAAATATTTCTGTTGCAGTTTTTAACTATCCTGTAGGAGTGCATAATGTCTTCAAAGTCAATGGAACTGGCTTCCAAGAGTGCATAAAGCCACCTCTCAGTGAGGCTTTGACCACCGGAAGTGATGTGATCACCCTTGCCACTCCGGGGAGAAAATGGTACATTTGTGGTGTTGCTAATCATTGTGCAGTAGGAAATCAAAAGTTGGTCATAACTGTTCTGCCTCAATCTACATCTCCAATGTCAGCCACACGGCCTTCGCTAAAACTAGCTGCTGTGAATGTCAAGGAGGGATGACTGAAACGTGTGGCATTCTTTTGATTGTTGTGCTTTGTAGTAGTCTTTTCAGTTTTTTGTAAGTCACTTTATGTTGTTTTGGCTTGGATTTGTCAGGTTTAATTGTTGGTTTGTATTGTTGAAGTGGAATGATCGATTTACTGTTGTTCTGTTAGTAAAATTGGAGTTTCTGCTTTGTGTGATATTGGATAAGGTTGCAAGATTTTATATAAATGGATATGAAGTTTAATTTTAGATGAATGGTATGTATAATTTGTGGCATTGATTCTAAGTATTCAAGGATTATAACAAGGTCAAGAAAACTTAGCATCACCAGAGGACTAATTGGCCAGCGGTATCATCAGAGAGGTCGGGGTTCGAATCTTGGTTGAGATATGATGTGTGCGTAATTGTTTTAACTTCCAAAAAATAAAATAGCATCTTCCATTATTATGGAGCATCTGAGTTCGTTTAAAAGTTGGTAAAGTGAAAAAAAATAATAATAAAATACCTTTCGTAAATATGTGTAAATTACTCCTTTACCTTCATTTTTGACCCATTTTTTTATAATTAAAATTCCGAAATACCCGTGTTTTATGTAATTAATTTTTTTATTTTTAATTTATCTTAAGAGCATTTTAAGTATTTCAATTTTCAAATTGGCAAAATATTTTTATTTACTGAATTTGAAAAAATGTAGATTTTTTTTTTTAACACCAAGGAGTATTTGCACCTTTTGTATGTATATAATAAGGTTATTTTTGCACTTTGTCAAAAGTTAAATAATAAGAAAAATGCCAAGATAACGTGAAATATTACAATGTAAAATAATGTTATGAATATTGATTTTTAATAAAAATTTATTTATTAAGGTCATTTGATAAAGGATAAAAGCAAAGTATATATATTGATATATGAGAAAGAAAAAAAGGGTTAAGTGCAAAAAATTCCCATCTACTATCGATATAGTGCAGAAAGGTCCTTGTGTAGTATAAAGCCCTCCGATACTATCAATTTGGCGCAAGTAGGTCCTTGTGTGGTATAAAATGATGATAATACCCTCACTTCAGTTGAATAAATTAATAACTATAAATACAGGCGATGTAAAATGACTCTTTTGTCCAATTTGTGTAAAATTGTATTTGTTTAGGATAAGAATAAAATAAACCTCAATTTGAACAAAATCGGAATAAGCTAAACTAAAGAAATCTAAAACTGGATATAACAAAAACTGAAACCAAACAGTCCCACTTCTTCCTCACCATGGCCACCGCCTTCTCCCCCTAGACCACTTCCGCCAGAATCCATTTCTGCTCCTAACTACAACTAGACTCTCCTTGTAAATCAAGACCTTGACCTAGAACTGGGATCCAACAAGATCTTAATTTCACGAGTCTCTGGATCATATAAGCCCACATGACCATCACAAATAGTTTCCACAGTAAGCTGACCGTTCTTCCAAAACCCAAGAGGCGATTTGTGCTTTAAAAGGAGTTCAACTGTTAAATGTTTTGTCCAACACCCTTCTTCCATCATCACCCATATTTCAACGAATGGACCAGATTTAGAATAAATCAGAGCAAGATAGTTATCGTAGGGTGCAAGATCAACAGCACGACGGCCTTTCTGATCTGGCTTCCTCTCTCTTTTTCCCTTTCCATGGTCCACCTCCAACTCCAACAATGATAGGAATTGGTGAAGAAGATAAATGAACAAGGCAAAAAATCCATGAAAAAAGAGCCACATATCATTCAACACAAAGTGAACCAGAACGATGCATATGCCAAAGATGACGACGAACACTTAGATCCGACCTTTTTTTTTCCTCTGATCTTCAACTGTGATTCATCCATTGGTTTTTTTGGATGCCAAATTTGATTTTTTTTTTTTTTTTCCTTTCATGAAGTTTGTATTGGAGTAAACAATGAAGGTTTTTGACTTTATCTATCTTAACGCAAAATTATCGGATTGGATTCTTGATTTTTTGTATTGGAATTAGGTTTTTATTTTGTTTGAATAGTAGTTGACAGAGAGATTTTAGGGTTAGCAAGTTTGTCAAAGTCAATCAAAAGGGCCTTTCCTCTATGCAGGGAAATAGTTGTCAACTGTTAGCCGACCATCACCTACGCCTTTTCGTCTGGGCAAACGACAGACAAACTTTCCATTCCAACAAGTAGATTAGTCCGAAGCTTGAATGGGAATGGTCATGGTTCCTAAATGGAACAAAGCTGAGTGGAGGATACCAAATAAAAACGGGGTTAACCCATTAGATATGGGTATGCCCAAATGGAACGAAGCTGAGTGGAGGAAATGGGTATGGAGTTTATATGTTTTTTTTTTTTTTTTAATTGATACTCACACACACATGTGTCTTTTAAGACTTGAACCCCTAACCTTTTTTTAGGAGGTAAGAAGCTGATACAGGTAGGCCACTGGCCCGTTGGTGGTATGGGGTTTATATGCCCATATGGGTGAGGGGCAAAATGAGAATCAAAAGGGTAAAATAGGGTTTTCATATTTAGTTTTTGTCAAAAAGTGGTCAGATGACTTATTTGCACATTTTTTGAATTTTATGAACTAACATGCACATTTTCAAAAAATAAAAACTAATTTTGCACAAATCTTATATATCAAGGTTTTTTTTTTTGCACTTAACCCAAAAAAGAAAAAAAAAATGTATGTACAGACCTAATATGGGCCGAATGGACTGCTAAACCCATTACGGATCTATGACAACCCAACCACACTTACATCAAATGAAAGTAACAAGAGAAGCCCAAGCCTAATAGCATCCAAATATTTAATTAAAAGGCCCTTACAGATGACCAATGCTCTACTGGTAACAGCCCAAAGTTCCGTCTATTTCAGTGTAAGCCATCTCTTGAATGGTGTAAGTGACGTAACTCACTTCAAACGCCATCGTTTTCATTTTAAGTGCTCCAATTTGTTACTCCAAAATGACAAATTATTATATAGTTCGACACCACCTCTTCATTCATGGTCCCAACCAATACGCACGTAATATATTCTCAAAATATTTCTAAAATTGCTTTGTTCAACCAGATTATTATTCATCCAAGGAAAACCTTTTTTTATTCTAAAAAAATTAAAGAATAAAATCAGACTTTTTCAAAATAGAAAATGACTTTGATTGTGATGCTTTTTCTAAGGCTCGCATCCTGTTTATTACCTAAGCAGCAGTCATTTTATCGTACTTCTTTAGTTTTCTACAAATAATTTTGATTTTTTTTTTTTTTTTTCTTTTCTAACTCTTAAATTCTGAAATTTCGGCTGATACTAAATAATTTTTTGCCTGTGATTTTGTCATTGCATCATCTCAATAATTATAAGAAAATCATCTCATTTTTTATTTCTCACTTAAATCGAAATAAAATTAAAGTGATTCAGATTAAGGATATATCAAATCACCTTACGAACTGAAATTGAATCTTTTTGGTATAACTTACTAACCATTGATCGGGGACTAGATTCTATGTTACCAACTTTCTTAGATAATTAAAATATGTCCTTACTAAAAATTTTGCTTTGTATTTTTTTTGTTTCAGACAGTATAATGTAGCGAAACAAAAATAAATAGTGTGTTTGATAATATTTGTTGTGATTTGATTAATACCGAAACGTTTTTAAAAAAGAAATACTTTCGCATTATGACAAAAGTATCATTGAATAATACTTTAAAATAAATAAATAAATAAAAATCTGAAGTGACTTTTTTAACTCCTATTTTATTTTTCATATTTGTAACATCTTTTTACGGAACATGTTTTCATATTTTTACTTTCAAAAATTACAACAATTATATGATACCAAATAAGATTTCACACCCCAAAACATAAATGTTATTTCTGATTTAAGTCAAAAGAATAACACAAAATAACTGTGACTTCCAAACAGACCCTCAAAAACTCGATCATAAAAACAATATCAGTAGCGATTGAAATCGCGATGATTGTAAAGCACCAATTCAAGGAGGACAGATTTTCTAATTCAGTTTTTTATTCATTGACGCATGAAGTCAAAAGTAACAGCCAAAAGAATATCTCCAACAATGTTACATACTCCAAACTTTAGCCGCCAGCGATTTCGGCCAAAGTGTAGGTGTGAGTGTGATCATCACCAAATGCCAATTGGTTCACTAATGTTAAAACTCCATAACTAGAACCAAAAACCTAGAACTCTATGCATTAATTTCACAGCCATAAATATATATTTGTAAAAACACACATAGATAAATCAGCCACATTTTTCAGGACCTCATGAAAATATTCCGTACATTCCCTTGGTTTTACAGAAGTTTAAAATATTGTCACAAACAACTTTGGGCAGTCCGTGGCCGGTCCTATGCTGTCTCCTTGGTATTTCAATTCTATAAATACATCCCTTTGTGGCAGTTACTTCCATAAGCAACCGTGAGAAAACCAACTGATAAAAGGTAGGAGCCATTAATAAACCCTAAAAAGTTGCAATGGCCTCTACTCATATCATCATCATCACCATCTTTGCACTCATCGCTCCAATTCTTGCAACGGAATTCATTGTTGGAGACAATGACGGTTGGAAAACCGACGTCGATTACCAAGCTTGGGCCAAAGGAAAAATGTTTATGGTCGGAGACACACTAGGTACATCGTAATATACTATGGTATACTAATTTATGCTTTTTCGCTTAATACTATTCAATCCTGACCATTGATACGAATTAACTTTCTTAATGTAGTTTTCAAATACGAGAAGGGATCCCACAACGTGTTCAAGGTGAACGGAACTGGCTTCCAACAATGCATTGTGCCTCCGCCCAACGAGGCTCTGACCAGCGGAAATGATGTCATCACCCTCAAGGCTGGGGGACTGAAATGGTACATTTGCGGTATGGGGCAGCACTGTGAGGTGGGGAAGCAGAAGCTTGCCATAATGGTATATGATTCAATGGCTCCAGCACCTACGCCTGTACCTGAAAAGGACTCTGCAACACAAGGAATGGTTGCTTATGGGTTGATGGCTGCGGCATTTGGGGTTCTTTTGATTTTCACACTTTAAAAATTTTGAATTTTGTGCATTTTTAATAAGTATTGCTCTGGTTTGAATTTGGAGTATGGATTATTGGTCTGTACTTTTGTTTGAATCCATGTGGGTGGGTATTACTAATAAGTTTTTAGTTGTGTGAATTACGGATTCAGAAATTAAAGGAAAAGCAAGAAACAAGCTTTTCAACATTTTTTTTGTGTAGCATATGCAAATCATAATTATTGGGTTCTACTTTTGAAACCCAGTCGCATAAAATTGTATATGCACATGGAAATCTTATACCTTTTTCTATTTTCTTGATATCAATTTACGTTCTTTAGTCATAATTATTTGCACACAAGCATAGCCTTCAACCACTAAAAGTCTTATAGCTTAGTGGTGTGTCTCATCTATTTTTCAAAATAGATCGTGAGATCTTAATTTTTCGAAAAAAGTAAAAATAGATAAGTGAGTTTACTACCGAAATAATTCATGATTAAGTGACAAGTGGCAATGACATAACCTGACTTTAATGGCTATTACATAAAATGAGATGAAAAATGATTAAATATAAGAGTGGGTTATTATTTATTTAAAGAAAAGGAACATGTAATGAGTGACAAATGGTACAAATTTGTAATCAACGAGATGTGGAGTTTGCAAATCCATTTTTTTTGTTGTCAATTCCTTCATTTTAAAGTCTTTTTTGTAAGACCAAAATTCCAAGAAATTTTTTTTTTTGGCCAAACATGCTTATACTATTGTGGACATTTACTAAGTGTTTTTTTTTTTTTTTTTTTTTTTTGCGCACGTGTATCGGTTCCATAATATACGCACTAATTAAGTCAGGAATACTATTTGAAAGCGATACTTTAAAAATTTACCTACCGAATTCCTGCTAATGCCAATACGTAGACATTTACTAAGTTCACTTTGAATGTACATGAAATCTAAATATGCCCCATTGTATTTTTTTGTTTCACTTACTTTTCAGTAAAAGTCCATTAATGTCTCTTGGGTGGTAAAAGTCTGATGGCCCGGAGTAGCCCATCAGTTGAGTCAACGGGCTGTGAAAATGGGTGCTCTGATATTGAGTGGTCCATTTGGCCCAATTGTTTAGCCCAAGCCTTGAGGTAGATTTTAATCCTTCTTTTGCTGCTTTTATTTTAAAACACTTCAAACAGTAACCAATTTTACCTCAATAGAGTTAATTTCTAACTTTTAAAGCTGAACCTGTCTATATTTTAGGTAAGTTTTTCCTTACACAATTTTATTTTATTTTTTTTAAAGACAATTTCAACATTTCTTTTTATAAAGATGTTATTATCATTATTGTAAATTTTACAATAGAAGTGTAAGTATAAAATTATGAGACGTAAAGGGTTAGGATTATGTGGGATATTGACAAATTTTAAAGGAAGTAAATGAAATTCATCAACTCACCAATCGGATGTGCCGGGGTTCGAATCCCCACTCTCCCTAATTTGCCAAACAGGTTATAAAACAAATAAAAAATTCCTATTTTTTATGAGATTGAGAAGGAAATGAAAGGAGGAAGCATGTGTTGTGTAGTCTGTCATTCCTATTGAACAAGAAGGTGGTCACTTAAAATTAAGGCAGCCACAATAACAGATTATTGTTAAAATTTTGTGTCAATGTTTATCATGAGTTCCTTAATGCGACTCATTTTGGACCAAGAAAATGTACTTCAAAATGTTACTTTAAATGATTAAATATCATGTAGCCATTCAATGTACATTGGACAAACCATGTGAACCCAAGTTCATTATAGAAGTTGCATAATCTCTGAAATGGCTATAAACAGCCATGAATGAAGCTAGAGATAACAACCTGAATCTTGATAACAAGGTATAAAAAGGTCAGGTTTTATTTAAATAAATCATATTTTGAGCTTTGAAGTGACTAAAGGTGGAGGAGCACTTTGTTTTTATTCCAGAACTACAAGTCCATATAAAAATAAAAATTAATAATAATAAAAGGGATGATTTATTGGCAAAAATGGCGTCGCCCGGACTTGAACCGAAGACCTTCAGTGTGTTAGACTGACGTGATAACCAACTACACCACGACACCTTTGTTGTCTATGCTGAGTAATTTGGTTACAATTATTCTGTTTTGGATATTTATCTTTATCATAGAAAGACGGAAGCATAGGGATTAAAATACTCTCTACACAGCTTCCTATAACATCATGCTGTTACGAATGGCCAACCCAGAACTTCCCCAATCTTTAACAGGTACCATATATCTAGCTTCCCTTGTATCTGCTAATTAAGTGTTTTCGGTGATATCTACATATATATAAGTATCAATTTACACAACAAATAAAGAACACCCATTTTATATGTTTGTGGAAGAAGACGGATTTTCTGTAACCGTATGTTTGGTTGCTGAGAAAATTGAGACAGAATAAATGCGCAAATTTTTATGTTACATCCACAGTCCCCAGTTTATTTATTAATTCTGCTGACAGTCCTGTAGTGGATGCACTCCATGCTCTGAGTTCTTAATTTGGCTGAGAGGCGTGGGCTAAAGCAGGTGCAGGCGTGATATAGTATTAATTTAGGTTAAAATATGTGAAGATGTCAAAATTTTTAAAATGGCTTGATGTTAAAGAAAAAACATTCTTGTGCATTATCTATAGGATATACTAAAATATGTGTAAAGAGGAATTTGCTGCAAATTCAAAGTGTATCTGTTATGTATTTAATAAAAAAAAACTAAAATAAATCAATCAATATGTGATCTTGCTTACTTGATGTCCAATGAAGCGACATTGAATGTAACATTATTTGTCTGATATGTATAAGACCTTCAAAGTTTGTGGCTTTTTATGTAGTTTGCAAATCATACTTCATTTTATGGTGCATGGACCCTGACCATTTGGGTAATTTTTATTATTTTATTTTGATTGGGCAATAGCATAGGAGAACCCTTTTCAGTACTCACTGAATCTGCTGTTAAGATCCCTCTCACATTTCTATGTGCGGGTTGATTCTAGTGTTAGCTTTTCTTCTTCTCCTGAGTAGTTCTTTTCACCTTTTCGGTGCTTTTCTTTTGATTCTCTTGTCATCTGAGTAATGCAAAATTTCTGCTTATAATTGATCTATACACTATTGGAATAAGAAAAATGATTAATTGGCTTATGCTGTATTTATCAGGAGGTACTCAGTTTGAAACTTGGGTTAAGGAAGATGGGCCTTGTGCGGTGTTTATAAGTGTCTCGTGATACTTATTTATATTTGGTTGAACATGTTCTGTGTAGTTTCGTCTTTGGAGAATATTAATATTTTTACCGGATAATTTCAGAGACTTCAAAGCTGAACTGTGCTTCATTTTCTGTGGTCATGGCTTCAATTGGAGTACAAAGAGCATTTAGTATACCCCCATCAAATGGCATAAGGTGATTAAGGATTTTTGCATAGGAAAATATTTGAAACTGTAGCAACAGGTTTGATTTCAAAACCGGAACTTTACTATATCAGGTGATAATCTTTTTAACAGTATTGTCTAACTGTGCATTTTATTACATTTGGCTTGCAGTGGATATGTTTCTTACTCTGATTGTATGCCTTCCTTCTGCAATGTTGACTGAACTCTTTTCCTTACAACCTTTTTTCAGAAGGCTTTGTGGATACCCACATGGAAATTTGATAAACTAGGGCTTAATTTAGATGTACGAACATTGGACAATGCTTCTTTAAGGGAAACAGAGATTATAGTTTAAGATGCCAATTTGGGTCTCTTGGGCTTAGCTCACGAGCATTGATCCAATGTGAGACAATAAACCATCACACACAAACACAAAATATAACGTGGTTCGATACAAACCAGCCTACATCAACGCCCCACAGAGGAGAATATATTTTGCTATGATTCTATAGAAATGTTACAACGATAGAATACCAACACTGTGTACATACTTTTTCACCATTTACCACTTCACGAACGCGTCTCCTTGCCATCAATGTTCTTGTACATATTTTTTCACCATTTACCACTTCACGAGCATGTCTCCTTGCCATCAATGTTCTTGCTGCTCTACCGATAAACACTTCTACCCATCAACTCCCTTTTGACAAGGATTACAAAGTCCAAGACTTGTCTAACAAGAAATTCCTTCACAAAACACAACTCTGAAATGGAAACCTAACTAGACTAGGAATTTTTTTTTGATAAGTCTAACTAGACTAGGAATTTGAGACAATTTCTAACGGGGGTATTGGCATGGTAGAGAACAAAAGTCAAAATTCACCAAAACCCAGAATTCTTTGAATGGTAAATAGGCTAAAATAAGTCTTTTTTGCCATTTGAAGTGTCTTTTACTTGCTTACTGGTCTTAGGAAAAATCTGTGTCAAACTTTTAGCTGTATCAGCATGATTTGTCCTTTGAAAAACTTTTGGATCAGCATCTAACCTAGGATGATTACTTTAGGCAGAAAAATGTAGAGAAAATGGCAAAAGTAACCATAACGTAGTGGAAAAAGTATCGGCATGTGCTATGTTACATGGACTCGGGTACGTGTGTCGGATGTGTCAAATTTCCAAACAAAGGACACACGGACATAGCTAAATATTCATTTTATTAAATATTTTATTTTATTTTCTAGAGTAAAGTAATGTTTTTATCTAATAAGATGTTATATAGGCCTTTAATTCATTTTAAAGTAATAATACAATATCATTGAATGATTGGATATGTTTTTTCAGTACATGTCCAATCAAAAGTGTTGAAGAAAAATGTGATAAAACAACTGTTTCTATATTTATATTTTATTTTGTTGGTTGGAATCATTTTGAAAACTGTGGGAAATTAGTCCAAACTTGAAACATAGAATGATTACTTTAGGCAGAAAAATGTAGAAAAATTGGCAAAAGTAACCATAATGTAGTGAAAAATAGTATTGGCATGTGTAAAAAAACTGTAGGAAATTAGTCCAAACCCTTTTTTTTTTTCTTTTTTTGATAAGTAGGAAATTAGTCCAAACTTGAAACGTAGAATGATTACTTTAGGCAGAAAAATGTCGAGAAATTGGCAAAAGTAACCATTATGTAGTGGAAAAAAGTATTGGCATGTGTAAAATGACTAGGTTAGTGTTTTGGTTCATATCTTTGTGATGAAAAACATGGTAAAACACTTGTTTCTATCTTTATATTTGATTTTGTTGGTTGGAATCATTTTGAAAACTACAGGAAATTAGTTCATATATTTGTTAAGAAAAACATGATAAAAAACTTACCCAAAAAAAAGGAAAGATAAAACACTTGTTTATATCTTTATATTTGATTTTGTTGGTTGGAATCATTTTGAAAACTATGGGAAATTAGTTCAAACTTCAAACGGCCTTAACTTTCAATCCAGAAGGAGTTACAGGACTATTAGATATGCACGAGAAGCGCAAGATGAGTTCTACCGCACAACCAAGCCATTTTGAAATCCAAGATTGGGCTGTTTCAATAGAGTTTTAATTTATTTTAGTTGTTTTTGGAAGTTTTCTAATTTCACGTGATTTTTTATTAGGATCGGGATGGATTAAATTTATTTTGATTTTGATTTTTAATTTTTTTATTCTTTTGCTTAGGGACTTTATTTTTTTATTTTTTATTTTTTGTGGTGATTTTAGAGGTGGTTTGCTAGTGTAGCTAAATTCTTGTGTTTTTTAATGCTAGAAATAGTTGTAATGCTCCATTGTTGGACAACTATTCATTAATAGTAATTCGAGTTCTCTGTCCCCCAAACCTGGTGGATTCTAGGGTTTAACAGTTCATTTGTTGTGAACACTTCTGTTTTGTCACTGGAAGAACATATTTCCAATGTTCTTGTAGGAATTTTATTAAATTGTATTTTCTTTTAGGGATGATCATATTGCTAGAATTATGGATTTTTTGTTTGAAATTTGGGTTAAAGAAAATGCCCCTTTTGGTAATGGTTCTAACTGTTGCATGACACTGTAAATTATTGAATGGGTTCTTTCTAGTTTCATCAATACACACTTTGAAATTTTAGAAACTTCAAAACCAAACTATGCTTCGTTTGCAATCATGGAAATTTTTTTTTTTATTTATTTATTTTTTGCGCCGGGGGGGGGGGGGGGGGGGGGGGGCCGCGGCAGCATTGATTTCTGCAGAGGACTAACGATTTCTGCAGAGTAAAGTATTGCAAATGTGGCAAGAGGCCTGATTCTAAACGAGGAGGTTTTATAATTCAGTTAAAATCCCTGAAACAGTCTTCCCCTGCAATGCATGGCTTGAAGTGCTCCTGTTTCTTAATGGGATCCGCTGCGCACATTGACTGCACTCCTTCCCTTGCCTTTCTCGAGCAACATTGACTGAAATTTTTCCCTTACAACCTTTCTATATAAGGATTTTTAGATTACCAGGGCTCAAGGAGGTCAAGGAACATTAGACAATGCTACTTTTAAGGAATCAGGGGTTACCAAATAAGATGATTACCCGGGGCATCATAGGTCTATATGATGCTCAGAAGTAGGGAGGATGAGCTACTCAGCATTTAGAGAAGATGATGGAATATGATTTTTCCTAATAGTTATAATTTTCACATTGAATGTGAAAAAACACAGGGTCAAGTCAGAATTCACCCAGCCGGATGGAGATTGTAGTAAAGACATAATATATTGGTTTCATTATATTGTGGAGTATTTCTTATATTTATTGGTTTCACCTCAAATCTTTATGACTTGATAGAATTTAAAATCACAACATTCACTTGTTAGTGATCACAAGTTACCACAGAGAACCCAAGTCTGCAAATGATAGTGGTTTTTGCTTATGAGAAACAACATTATTATACATGTTATTATACATGAACCGGGACAGCACGCAGAGGTTGAGCCTTCTGTAAAGTAATACCAAACTTCTCCTCCATGTTCATGTCCTCTGGAGCAACGCCGTCTTCAAGCTTCCAGTCAAACGAGTTTATGAGCGAACCCATCATCAAGTGAACCATCCTTATTGCTAATGGCAACCCAGGACATATTCTTCGTCCACCTCCAAAAGGAATTATCTCAAAGTCATGGCCCCGGACATCAATTTCTGTCCCCAAGAACCTCTCGGGCATAAACGAGTTTGGATTGGTCCATATGCTTGGATCGCGGCCAATAGCCCACGCATTTACTAGCACTTGTGCATCCTTTGGTACTGTGTAACCACATACCTCAACATTGGCATCAACTTTGCGAGGGATTAAGAATGGCACAGCTGGGTGTAGCCTGAAGGTCTCTTTCACGATAGCTTGTAAGTATGGCAGTCTTGCAATGTCTGATTCTTCTACTGGGCTGCCTTTTCCAAGGATCTGATCTAGCTCAGCTTTGGCTTTCAACAGTGTCTTTGGGTTGTGTAGTATCTCTGCCATTGCCCATTCCAAAGTGCTTGAAGTAGTATCTGTTCCCGCGGCAAATAGATCCTGTAAAATAGTTTGTGTAAGTTGCAAACTTTACTGGCTAATGAAACATTTCTACATAAGTCAAGAAGTAAGAAATCATTACCTATTGGTATGGTCACCCTCTGAAGAGTTACAATGGACATCTAAGTTCAACGACAGAACAAATATTTCTATCGATTAGATAAGATCAAAGCAAACCAGACTGGTTTAGTTTACATACCACCAACATATGGTCGATGTGGACTTGATCAATCTCGTTAGGGTTAGATTCACTGATATTGAGAAGAGTGTCTAACACATCATTTCTTGTGATACAACCTTGCAGTCTCCTCAACTCCAATCTTTGGTTGATCATATGATTGAAAATCCCAATCATCTTCTCAAAATGAATCGTCAATCGGCACCTTATACCTAGTGGATCAAACTTCCTAAGCACAGGGAAGTAATCCGCCAGATTGGGTTTACCAGCCTCTTCCATGATACCCCAAACTAGTTCTTTAAACTCTTGTGCCGTATCAGAGCTTGTGTCAGTCAAATCTGCAGAAAAGATGGTATTTGATATTAGATTTAGCGTTGTTCTGAAAGCTGCTCGTCCTACATCTACTGCAGCACCGGCCTGGCAACTCTTGTGGATGTAGGCCATTAGCTCCTTAACTTTCTGACTCCGTAGCTGTTGCTTAGCATCCAGTCTTTGACCTGAAAATAAATGTGAGCTCATGATTTTACGGAGGTTCCGCCAGCGAGTTGAAACGGGTATCCAAGCCACTGAGAACAGGCCATGGTTGTGGGCTAGAAGTGCGTCTGGGATGAATCGGTTGGAGAAGGAGAGGTCTTGCTTTTGGAGGATTTCTCTGGCCATGGTTGATGAAGAAATGACCACTGTGGTTATTTGGCCTAGTCTCAAAGTCATGATAGGACCGTGATTTTTGGCGAGCTCTGCTAAGGACTTGTGTGGTTTATTTCCTAGTTTGAGGAGGTTTCCGATAATCGGCAACGGTGTAGGTCCTGGTGGTAGCCTTCCCGCACTTGTTCTGCTCCCCCTTTTAATTGAAAGCAGGGCTTGAACCAGAGTCCAGGAGAACAGAAAACACAGTAGCAAGCTCAAGAAATCCATCTCTCTACCCTCTTGTCTGCTAGACTGTGTATAGTGCGTGTATGTGTGTTACTAATAGAGCTCTCTAGTTTGCAAGGCTGTGTGTAGTGCGTGTATGTGTGCGGCTAAATAGACTCGGGAGGTTCGGTCTTTTGTTTATACAATATTTTGAAGCTATCACTGTAGTTTTGATTTGTTATTATTGTTTTTAAAATTATGAATATCCACATCTTGCTATACTGATTCATAAGGAGTTGACTTTTTTTTTTTTTTAAGTTTTTATGTTATCTCCTATCAGAATTGATTAAAAATATTGATTATCACATCATTCTTGGCTGTGAATATTTGATTTGAATTATCTTCTCCTTTGGCAGGATTATTAATTGTCAGAGCTCATATGAAAATATCTCTGGTAAAAAGCCTCATCTGGACACAGCTGTCTGCTTGCATTAAATTCCCAAGTGACAAAATCAAATTTAACCTCTTTAGATGGTCCAACAATGAGCAGCCTTTTTGGAATTTCTGAGTCATAACTGAATTGGATAGCTTAGCTTGACTTGTTTAGTTAAGAGTCTTCATTCGATTTTTGTGAATTGGAGGTATGGCAACTATAGAAACAGGTGGGAGAATACAGCTGAGTAATTGGAACAACTTGGAAAAGGATGTGCAGACCCCAGGAGAACGAGAAGGATGTACCTTGTGGAGGGTGTGGGCCCCACAACCTCTATCTCATTTTGGGCTCATCATTTCTCTAACCCCACCAAGGCTCTCAAGTAATCGGACCTGCTTTTAAAGTTCTTTATAGTTATCGGAATTCTAGTTATCTGAATAAGGGATCTTAAGAGTAACGATCCGATATCTTCCAACTAGAATCCCTCTTTTTTTCGATCCAGTTCCTCCACCACCGCGAACCCCATCATATCATTGTAGCAACTGAATTTTTTTTGCATAAACAAAATAAAAATCAACCTGATTCTAAATTGTGAAGCGACCCTTGGGCTTTCTACCTCCACGTGGCATTGCTCTCTTTCGGATCCCAGAAACAACTCTCAGAGATCTTTTTGCCTTTTGGAAGATGCAAGAGGGAAACAATCAACCTGTTACGTCAGTTTGATTACTCGAAGACACTTGGCCTCATATCATATCATGAATTGAGTCTGGTTTTGATATTAACTGTAATGAATCTGTGTGTTTCTCAACTCGATTCAAAATTTTAAGTTATCATGTAAAGTTACTCAATTCATATTGTATTCAATCACTTTTTCATTTGTTTCAATTCAATGTGGGACAAGATTCCCTTTTAAGATTTCAAATGATTTTGTTCAAGTGAAATTATCTAACTTGTAAAGGAGAGATGGGTTTAATTTATTGTTCCCCTTAAAAAATTACAAACTTATTCATCCAACTATAACAACAATCTCCTTTATTGATTCAATTCTTTTTTAAAAAATTTAAAAATAATTTAGGAAAGCTAAAATTTGAAACAAGTTACATCAAATCTGCAACACATGTAACACATTTACATGATACAGTACCCATCCATCATATTAAATTGTATTACAATGGTGCAGCACAATTAAATTAAAATTTTCACACATTTATGTAATAGGAGTCTTGTCCAATTAAATGCATAAGACGACACATGAAAATAATAATAATAATAATAATAATAATAATAATATCTTCTCACAAAAGAGGTTGAGTATTCAAATTTTGTATTCTTTGTAGATTTATAACATTTGTTTGAACTTTTGTATGTGAAATAATGAATATATATATATATATATATATATGGACATAGGAGTCCTAATTCCTATTAATTTATGGTGAGAAGACTCTCTCATCTTCGGCAATTTGATCCAGTTACCTAACTTGTGCTTTCCTTCCAATGGTTGAGAATGCAAATTTACAATTAGAAGGCGCTCTATTGATTACTCTTTTGCTATGTTTAACTCACATATTCTATTCACTACTATTTAGTTCGGTGACCATTATATTCTAACGCGTGTTAAATCTCATGGACACACACTAAAAACAAGTTTCCTATTAAGTTCACTGTGACTCTTTTTCATTTTAAATTTTCACAGAAAGATCGGTGGTAATCTGACTATTTAATTGGGTGATCCGTTATCTTATAACATGTGATAATTCTCATGTACGCGCAACAAAAACTAGTTTTGTATTAAGTTTACTGCAGCAAGTCACTATCCCAGAAATCACGGAGATCTTCACACACACACACACACACACACACACACACACACACACACAAATGCATTGCTAACTATATTTGGAATATATCTGGTTTATTATAATAGAGAATATTCTGTTGGCCTGGCAAAATCAATTTATTTAGAATTTAGATATATAAAAATGGGTAAAGTGCATAAAACATCCTGAGCTTTCATTTAATTGCACAAAATCTCTCTGAATTAACAAATACCTCCCTAAATTATGATAAAGTTGCATTTAAGGACAACAGTTGGGTCTTCGGCACCGAAAAAAGAAAGTTACTAATTTACCCTTCAGTTGAAGGGTCTGTTTGGATTCTTTATTAACTTTTGTTGTTGAGGTGTAAAAAAAAAAAAAAAAAAAAAAAAAAAAAAAAAAAAAAAAAAACTTAAAGGCCAATAAGGATTGGACAACACATCACCTTATCACTAACCTTATTTTAATTTCTCACCTTCCCAAAAAAAAAAAAAAAAATGAACTAAACCTAATTCTACCACGCAACACCTCTCCCCATCTCATTTACCAAACGCGACCAGTGCGGTAGTGCCGCGCGAGTGAAGCCATTAATTGATTTGTTCGTCGATTACTCCGCCATTGATGGTGAGCAGTGATTGTGTTTGTGTGAGAAGAAATACACTGCATGAGGAGGAGGAGATGACCAATTAGTACCTTAATGCGTTCCTCCAGTAATGGTCACAAAGGATCAACGGCGATGAGAACAACGACCACCTCCTCCTCAACACCATCTCTTGCCGCACTATACCCCAATTCATCTTATATTCGTCTCGTTGTACAACGTCTCGACCTCTTCCACGCTGACGCTTCCATCAGATTGTTTCGTCTCTCACATCAAATTGTCAAAATCCTATCAGCTTCTCGATTTGTAGAAACCCAACTTCCTTGACAACCAGTGTTCAACAAAACTTTCATTTCTCGCCATAAATCAAAGAAATTTAAGCTATAGAACAAAAATTAGGGTTTGTGAATGAAATTTAGGGTTTGGTTTGTGATTGTTGAGTGGCTTGCAGAGAATCAAACGGTGAAGATACATAAAAGAGATGGCGATTTGGTAGAGAATGAATATTGGGTTCCAACAGACACGATTTGGGGTTGAATTTGGTGGTGGTTTCAATTTGATTTTTTTTTTTTTTTTTTTACTTTTTTGGAATTATATAAGCAGTATCAATTCAGGTAAAAAGAAAATAGACTACAGAAACACAAATATCTGTTTTATTCCATAGATGTGATAACACAATATCACAACTAAATATATTCAATCCCCAGGAACGTCGACAAGTGGAATTTACCGTTGAGCATTAGTCGGTATGAGTTTTTCTTTTCAAGAGAGAGGTTAAGTATACTAATTTTGTTGGGAAGTTATTGTGGGTGTATGTGCTTTTGTTTAAACTTCTTTAGATATATAAAAATGGGTAAAGTGCATAAAACTCCCTGAGCTTTCACTTAATTGCACAAAATCTCTCTGAATTAACAAATACCTCCCTAAATTACGATAAAGTTGCATTTAAGGACAACAGTTGGGTCTTCGGCACCGGAAAAAGAAAGTTACTAATTTACCCTTCAGTTAAAAGGCCTGTTTAGATTCTTTATTAACTTCTGTTGTTGAGGTGTAAAAAAAAAAAAAAAAAAAAAAAAAAAAAAAAAAAAACTTAAATGCCAATAAGGATTAGACAACACATCACCTTATCACTAACCTTATTTCTCACCTTCCGAAAAAAAAATAAAAATAAAAAATAAAAATAAAAAAATAAAAAAAATGAACAAAACCTAATTCTACCACGCAACACCTCTCCCCATCTCATTTACCAAACGCGACCAATGCGGCAGCGCCGCGCGAGTGAAGCCATTAATTGGTTTGTTCATCGATTACTCCACCATTGATGGTGAGCAGTGATTGTGTTTGCGTGAGAAGAAATACACTGCAGGAGGAGGAGGATATGACCAATTAGTACCTCAATGCATTCTTCCAGTAACGGTCACAGAGGATCAACGGCGATGAGAACAACTACCACCTCCTCCTCAACACCATCCCTTGCCGCACTATACCCCAATTCATCTTATATTCGTCTCGTTGTTCAATGTCTCGACCTACTTCCACGCTGACGCTTCCATCAGATTGTTTCGTCTCTCACATCAAACTGTCGAAATCCTATCGGCTTCTCGATTTGTAGAAACCCAACTTCCTTGACAGCTAGTGTTCAACAAAACTTTCATTTCTCGCCATAAATAGAAGAAATTTGAGCTATAGAACAAAAATTAGGGTTTGTGAATGAAATTTAGGGTTTGGTTTGTGATTGTTGAGTGGCTTGCAGAGAATCAAACGGTGAAGATACATAAAAGAGATGGCGATTTGGTAGAGAATGAATATTGGGTTCCAACAGACACGATTTGGGGTTGAATTTGGTGGTGGTTTCAATTTGATTTTTTTTTTTTTTTTTTTACTTTTTTGGAATTATATAAGCAGTATCAATTCAGGTAAAAAGAAAATAGACTACAGAAACACAAATATCTGTTTTATTCCATAGATGTGATAACACAATATCACAACTAAATATATTCAATCCCCAAGAACGTCGACAAGTGGAATTTACCGTTGAGCATTAGTCGGTATGAGTTTTTCTTTTCAAGAGAGAGGTTAAGTATACTAATTTTGTTGGGAAGTTATTGTGGGTGTATGTTCTTTTGTTTAAACTTCTTTAGATATATAAAAATGGATAAAGTGCATAAAACTCCCTGAGCTTTCACTTAATTGCACAAAATCTCTCTGAATTAACAAATACCTCCCTAAATTATGATAAAGTTGCATTTAAGGACAACAGTTGGGTCTTCGGCACCGGAAAAAGAAAGTTACTAATTTACCCTTCAGTTAAAAGGCCTGTTTAGATTTTTTATTAACTTCTGTTGCTGAGGTGTAAAAAAAAAAAAAAAAAAAAAAAAAAAAAAAAAAAAAAAAAAAAAAACTTAAATGCCAATAAGGATTAGACAACACATCACCTTATCACTAACCTTATTTCTCACCTTCCAAAATAAAAAATAAAAAATAAAAAAAAAGAACAAAACCTAATTCTACCACGCAACACCTCTCCCCATCTCATTTACCAAACGCGACCAATGCGGCAGCGCCGCGCGAGTGAAGCCATTAATTGGTTTGTTCATCGATTACTCCACCATTGATGGTGAGCAGTGATTGTGTTTGTGTGAGAAGAAATACACTGCAGGAGGAGGAGGAGATGACCAATTAGTACCTTAATGCATTCTTCCAGTAACGGTCACAGAAGATCAACGGCGATGAGAACAACTACCACCTCCTCCTCAACACCATCCCTTGCCGCACTATACCCCAATTCATCTTATATTCGTTTCGCTGTTCAACGTCTCGACCTACTTCCACGCTGACGCTTCCATCAGATTGTTTTGTCTCTCACATCAAACTGTCGAAATCCTATCGGCTTCTCGATTTGTAGAAACCCAACTTCCTTGACAGCCAGTGTTCAACAAAACTTTCATTTCTCGCCATAAATAGAAGAAATTTGAGCTATAGAACAAAAATTAGGGTTTGTGAATGAAATTTAGGGTTTGGTTTGTGATTGTTGAGTGGCTTGCAGAGAATCAAACGATGAAGATACATAAAAGAGATGGCGATTTGATAGAGAATGAATATTGGGTTCCAACATACACGATTTGAGGTTGAATTTGTTGGTGGTTTCAATTTGATTTTTTCATTTTTATTTTTTCCTTTTTAGGAATTGTATCAATTTGGAAATTTTGATTTTATACATTTAATAGCTTATAATGGTAATAAGGGTAGCTTCGTCATTATAAATTTAAAGACCTGGCATGTGATACCACGCGCCTATTTAACTGCAAAAATCAATCAAAATTTTAGATAGTTCAGGGGTTAATTGTAAAAATAGAATGGAGTTTTTAGGGAGAGAAAGTATAGTTTAGGGGATTTTATGCATTTTACCCTATAAAAATAATAATAATAAAAAGGTGAATTTCCAAAGTTGTCCCTCATGTGGAACCATTCCATTATGAAGCTTTCCAATTGCAAAGGTGGATCAGCCTTGGTGGGGGCAAAACTTATGTTTTCTTTGTTGAAGGGATGAAAAAATGGATGCAAGAAGGGAAGGGACCAATGACGTTTTTTGAAAAACTATCTTATTCACTTTTTGTTTGATTAAATGAAATAACAGAAAGAATGATGGAGGAACTGTTTTTTTTTTTTTTTTTTTTTTTTTTTTTCTGTGTTGAAAGAAATTGAGAGATTTTATATACTTTTACCAATATACTCCCATTGATTTTTCTGACTGGGCTATGCTTAATGTCACAGGACTAAATTACACCACGAATTTTTGCCTCTGCAATGGCACTTGGGGCCACCAAGTCTCAGCCAACACAACAACACAATACACACAGTATAGAAATGTAAAGAAGGCACACACAGTTACAGGGACAAGCCCCAACCTTTGCTCATATTAAACATATTACAAAGGAACATGAGTTCGTACAAGGAACAACCAAGGCTCACACCCTCTTCTCTGTTCCCTCTACAAAGCCCACCTTAGCATTATATAGGCCACTCTTAAAACCGCCCATAACTGCCCACTAAGATGATGGATGACACCCCCATCCACCTAGGGTCGTGCTGGCACCCTCTAAATGAGCCAGCACTAGAATGCAGTTGACAAGCCCAACTGCTAGACTTGTTGGCATGTTCTGCTCATGCCACATAACCACAAGAAGTTACATTTTGCATAGTGGAGGAAACCACCCTGAACCGCTTGTGTGTTGGTCCTCTCAGAATTGTGCCACATGTTTGGGAGGTTACTCGGCACTCCCCCACTTCCCATGATGAGTGGGAAGTGCTAGTAACTTCCCCCAACCGACCGAGCCCACTAAGCCACCACCTCTTGTAACCGCAAGCCATGACTTTGTGTTGTCCATGCTCTAGCCACATCTAAGTCAACCTTGTGAACCTAGCCCAAGCCAAGTCCACCAATCTGCACCCACATATATATGTCTCTGAGTGCACGGCGTGCCAAGCCATGCACGCCCGTGCGTACGCTCGGGTGCACACCAAAGTTCACGCCGGCGCACAAACTAGTTCCCTTCTTCGCATGCCATGTTTGAACCCTCATGCGTCCGTGGCTATACGCCCACCTGGACGCCCATGCGCACGCCGAGCTAGATGCTTGCGCACACTAGGTTGGACGCCAACCCGCGCGCCCACCCGCACGCGCGTTGCTGCACACCAGCGCGTGTGTCGGTGCCCACTTATTTGCCCTTCAATATCTTGGATGCTCCCCACTTGTGCAACCATCTTGGAGTGGTGCAAAACGTGCCCATGCACGTTGGCTAAGCCCTCTAAGCAAGCCATGCCATAGCCCAACCGATGTGCTCAACAGACCCCCCTAATATAGTCTTAAGGAAATCCAGCACTCTGACAGGAGTAAACATCACCCATGCTTGAGGAGTCATAATGGCCTTTCAGACCTTTCCCGACATCCAAATTGAGTGCTGTCTGCGCCAACCAGCTTCTATGGACTCAAGGTACCTCCCATAAAGATCCTGAGTCAAAACTCCAAGTTTCACTTTTCGCCATATTTACGAAAGTGCCACTGGGCACCCCCAGTGCACGCCGAGCATCCTTTTAAGCATCTTGTGTGCATATTGAGCATCTTGTGCACGCTGAAAACCCCCTGAGCAATCCTCATGGCTGTCTAACGAAAGCCAAAGTATTCCCAAGACATGGCATGGCCTTAAAATACCCATGTCTTCCCTTGGACAACCGTCAAGGGGCTAACAAACCACCCCCACCAGAAGAAGTCGACGCCCTCCTCGACCTGTCCAAGTACTCCCTTACCTATTTCTCAAACTGCCATAATGTCACATCCCTTTCCCAACTCGCCTCTGCTTCACTGCATCCTTTCCATTGCACCAAGTAATCAGTTCTGCGATTTTTCTTACTCTGACCCTGGGTCCGGTGAGACAAAATCTTTTCCACCTCCTTGTTAAACTGCAACCGAATAACAGGTGGGGCTCTCTTAGCCTACTGTCTTGATGTATCTCCAGTGTCCTCATGAAAAGGCTTGAGGAAACTCATATGAAAAGTAGGATGGACCTTCAGTCTCTCAGGTAACTGTAATCTGTAAGCAACATTCCCCACTTTCTTCACAACTTCAAATGGACCATCATACTTCTGAATCAACCCTCTGTGAACAGTCTTGCTGCTTATCTTCTTCCAAATCTGTGGAGTCAACTTCAACAAAACCTTGTCTCCCACTTGGAACTCTAATGGCCTTCTCCCTTTATCTGCATACTTTTTCATCCTTCTCGCAGCCTTGGCAAGGCTGTCATGTGCCTCCTCCACCATCTCTTGCATGGAACGGGCATATCGGTATGCTGCAGGGCATTTTCCACCAGTCCTCTGCACTGCCACCTCCTGTGGTGTGCGAGGTTGTTGCCCCGTTGCCAACTCAAAGGGACTCATTCCTGTTGCTGAAGACCTGTGCAAATTATAAGAGAATTATGCAGTGTCTAGCAACTCCAGCCAATTTTTCTGACTTGCAGTGACATAGTGCCTCAGATATTCTTCCAATAACTGGTTCATCCTTTCAGTCTGTCCGTCAGTCTGAGGATGGTTTGCTGTGGAGAACTTCAATTCAGAGCCCATCAAGCCAAATAGCACTGTCCAGAACCTTCCCGTAAATCTAGTGTCACGATCACTAACAATATCTTCGGGCAAGCCAAAATATTTCACCACAAACTTATGAAATAAACCAGCAGCAACTTCCGCTGGGCATGCATGTGGTGTAGCAATAAAAATTGCATACTTAGAGAATCTATCTACAACCACAAAAATAGATCTCATACCTTCCACCTTAGGAAAACCAGAAATGAAGTCCATTGAAACTGACTGCCATGGATGCTCTGGTATAGGCAAGGGTTGCAGTAGCCTTGCCTACTTCTTCCTCTCATGCTTGTCTTTCTGACAGACCAAGCAAGTCTTGACATATAACTCTATGTCATCCTCCATCTTGGGGCAATAATATGATCTGGATATCAACGCCAGCATTCTATCCACCCCTGGATGTCCAGCCCACTGAGGATCATACATTTCCCGCATTAGTTCCCGTCTCAAACCTCCAACAAGAACATATAATCTACTTCCTCTGGCGTAGAGTAGATTATCTTCAATCCAGTACTTTCTAACTTCACCATCAGTAACCTGTTGCTTTAGTTTTTGATAGGCATTGTCGGACTGAGATTGCTCTTTGATTATGTCAAGGAAATCAGTATACACCGTTGTCAACGACGCCACATACTCCTGCACTTCTTTCCTACTCAAGGCATCAGCAACCTGATTCTGCTTTCCAGGTCTGTGAACCCACACAAAATTGAACTCCCCAAGAAACTCTTGCCAACGAGCTTGCTTTGGAGTAAGCTTTTTCTGTGTCTTGAAGTAGGTATTGGCCACATTATCAGTCACCACTGTAAATTGGTACCCAACAGATAGTGCTTCCATGCGTCAAGACAATATATCACTGCAGTCATCTCCTTCTCGTGAGTTGTATACCTCTGTTCAGCATCCTTAAGCTTCCTGCTTTCAAAGGCACATGGGTGTCCTTCTTGGACTAGAACCCCACCAATTGCTCTATCAGAGGCATCAGTATGCACTTCAAATGGCAAACCAAAGTTAGGCAGTCTCAAGACCGGTTCTGTAGACACTGCCTGCTTAAGCATCTCAAAAGCATTCTGGCACTCCTCAGACCAAACCCACTGTTTGTCCTTCTTTAGCAAGTTCGTTAAAGGACTAACCTTCTTGGAATACCCCTTTATAAACTTTCTGTAGTAGTTTGCCAACCCTAGAAAAGATCTCAACTCTGTCACTTTGGTAGGTGCAGACCAATCAAGGATGGCTTTCACCTTTCTCTCATCCATTCTGACATGGCCCTTACTGATCCAATGCCCCAAAAACATCACTTCTTGGCGACAAAACTCACACTTCTCCTTTTTGACAAATAACTGAAACTCCTTAAGTTTTGAGAAAACCAATCTCAAGTGTTCTAAGTGATCTCTCAATGACTCACTATAGACTACAATGTCATCCAAATAAACAACAACAAAGCGATCGATGTAGTCATAAAACATATTATTCATTAAGTTGCAGAAGGTTGCCGGGGCATTAGTTAGCCCAAACGGCATTACAAGAAATTCATAAGACCCATAACGAGTTACACATGCAGTTTTGGGTTCATCTCCTTCTGCTATACGCACCTGCCAGTAGCCTGCACGTAAATCCAGCTTAGTAAAGTAGGATGCCCTTGACAACCTGTCAAATAAATCAGCGGCATTGGGCACTGGATACTTGTTCTTCACAGTCACTTTATTCAGAGCCCTATAGTCCACACACATCCGCATTGAGCCATCCTGCTTCCTTTGGAACAACACTGGCGCGCTATACGGTGCCTTGGATGGTTGAATATAGCCAGACTCCAGCAACTCATCCAACTGTCTACGCAGTTCAGCCAGTTCTGAAGGCGCCATCCGGTATGGGGCCTGAGCAGGAGCCCTTGCACCCGGCTCCAACTCTATCTTGTGATCAACAGCACGTCGAGGGGGCAATTGCTTGGGTAGTTCTGGTGGCATAACTTCTGCAAATTCCTCTAGAATTTCAGCAACAGAATCCGGAACTTCAACAAACTGGTCCGGTTTGATCTCTATCATTGCTGCAAGAAAGGTAGAGTCTCCCCTCTTCAAACCTGTTTTCACTTGCAATGCAGAGATTATTTCGATACAGCCATATTTACGATCTTCCTTCTTTTGGTGCCCATAAAGAGCCACTGATGGAATAAAACATGGACAACTCCTGTCCCAAATAAAAATTCCTCCCAAATATGGCACAACTACTACTCTGGCTTTCGTAAGAAACTCAATTCCAAGAATTAGATCAAAATCATCTAAGGAAACAGCCATAAAACTAATTACGCCCTCCCAATAACCAACTTTCATAGAAGTGGTGGCCATGCCTAAAACAGGCTTGGCTTCAGAATTCACAGCTTTCATCTTATTAGCTTGTGGAATTAATTTTAAATTAAAGTTACTTACTTCCCTCTGCGCAATGAAGTTATGAGTGGCCCCCGTGTCCACCATTGCCAAAACTTCCTTGCCGTTCAGCGTCACCTGAATGAACATGAGCCCTTTCAACTCCATGGACTGTTCTTCAGTAAGAGCATTCAACATTTGCAGAGGATTAACTCGGGTTGGACCAGATTCCGAGTCTGAGTCTCCTTTTGAATCAGCGACGATAGCACTCAGCTTCTCCCTCTTGGGACAGTCCCTAACACGATGGGGACCATTACAGATGAAACAACCGTAGTTGGGCTTAGTCCCACTACTACTCCCTTTGTTATTGTAATCTGTCTTGGCCTTGACAAAGCCACCGCCTTTATCCTTCTTTTTGTCCTTGAACCTGAAGGACTGGCCTTTGTCTTTCTTCCCCTTCTTGGACTTCTTCTTGTCTTGTGTAGTAGACCCAGTCATCTTGAAATCTACAAGACAATCTGCCGCTGTCATGGCAGTAGGAAGGTCCCTCACACCTTGCCTACGGAGTTCTGCCTGAGCCCATGGTTGCAATCCGGACATGAAATTGAACAGCTTGTCCTCCTCTGACATATTTCGAATGTCCAGCATCAAGGAACTAAAGTCCTTCACATAGTCACGAACGGTACCTGTGTGCTTCAATTTCTTCAGAGATTCCCTTGCAATCCATGCAGTGTTCTGGGGCAAGAACTGGTCCTTCAATTCCTTCTTGAGGGTCTCCCAAACTTCAATCCGAGGCCTACTCGCAGAAGCATCGTCCTCTGTCCGTGTGCGCCACCATAGCTTTGCATCACCAGACAGATACATGCTTGTAATGGTCACCTTCTCGCCATCAGGGATCCGAGCAGCCTTGAAGTACTGCTCCATGTCCCATAGGAAATTCTCCAACTCTTTGGCATTTCGGGTACCACTGAAAGACTTGGGATCCGGCACCTTGATCTTCTGCGAAAGATGATCACCACCGCCTCTGGAACTCCCATGAATGGCCCTCTTCACTAAGGACACTTCATCTTCAAGGTCTTTCAGGTTCTTCTTGAAGACGTCAGTCAGCGACTCAACATCTTCAGAGATACGGGTCAATTGCTCATTGGTGGCCTGCATGAAGTCACCAAACCCATCAGGATCAGTCTTCAAGATCTCCGCTTCAGAAGCCAAGTTTTCAATTCGAACAACAAGGCTCTCTGCACCATCTTGTACCTCTATTTCTGTAGGAAAACCCACGAACTCTTCCAAACGGGAAACTCTTTCACGAGTATTACCTCCAGCCATCGTAGAATGGGGCTCTGATACCAATTGTCACAGGGCTAAATTACACCACGAATTTTTGCCTCTACAATGGCACTTGGGGCCACCAAGTCTCAGCCAACACAACAACACAATACACACAGTATAGAAATGTAAAGAAGGCACACACAGTTACTGGGACAAGCCCCAACCTTTGCTCATATTAAACATATTACAAAGGAACATGAGTTCGTACAAGGAACAACCAAGGCTCACACCCTCTTCTCTGTTCCCTCTATAAAGCCCACCTTAGCATTATATAGGCCACTCTCAAAACCGTCCATAAGTGCCCACTAAGATGATGGATGACACCCCCATCCACCTAGGGTCGTGCTGGCACCCTCTAAATGAGCCAGCACTATAATGCAGTTGACAAGCCCAACTGCTAGACTTGTTGGCATGTTCTGCTCATGCCACATAACCACAAGAAGTTACATTCTGCATAGTGGAGGAAACCACCCTGAACCGCCTGTGTGTTGGTCCTCTCAGAATTGTGCCACATGTTTGGGAGGTTACTCAGCACTCCCCCACTTCCCATGATGAGTGGGAAGTGCTAGTAACTTCCCCCAACCGACCGAGCCCACTAAGCCACCACCTCTTGTAACCGCAAGCCATGACTTTGTGTTGTCCATGCTCTAGTCACATCTGAGTCAACCTTGTGAACCTAGCCCAAGCCAAGTCCACCAATCTGCACCCACATATATATGTCTCTGAGTGCACGGCGTACCAAGCCATACACGCCCGTGCGCACGCTCGGGTGCACACCAAAGTGCACGCCGGCGCACACACTAGTGCCCTTCTTCGCGCGCCATGTTTGAACCCTCATGCGTCCGTGGCTGTACGCCCACCTGGATGCCCATGCGCACGCCGAGCTAGATGCTTGCGCACACTAGGTTGAACGCCAGCCCGCGCGCCCACCTGCACGCCCGCACGCGCGCCGCTGCACACCAGCGCGCGTGTCGGTGCCCACTTGTTTGCCCTTCAATATCTTGGATGCTCCCCCACTTGTGCAACCATCTTGGAGTGGTGCAACACGTGCCCATGCACGTTGTTTAAGCCCTCTAAGCAAGCCATGCCATAGCCCAACCGATGTGCTCAACATACCCCCCCTAATATAGTCTTAAGGAAATCCAGCACTCTGACAGGAGTAAACATCACCCATGCTTGAGGAGTCATAATGGCCTTTCAGACTTTTCCCGACATCCAAATTGAGTGCCGTCTACGCCAACCAGCTTCTATGGACTCAAGGTACCTCCCATAAAGATCCCGAGTCAAAACTCCATGTTTCACTTTTCGCCATATTTACGAAAGTGCCACTGGGCACCCCCAGTGCACGCCGAGCATCCTTTTAAGCATCTTGTGTGCACGCTGAGCATCTTGTGCACGCTGACAACCCCTTGAGCAATCCTCATGGCTGTTTAACCAAAGCCAAAGTATTCCCAAGACATGGCATGGCCTTAAAATGCCCATGTCTTCCCTTGGACAACCGTCAAGGGGCTAACACTTAACCATAATAAGTCCATGAGTTATAGACAAAATGTATAAATGGGTCAAGGAAGTTATCACAGTAATTTGATTTGTCATTATTTTAATTAAATTTATGAATGCCGATCTTGCTATACTTATTTGTAAGGAGTTAACTCTTTTTGGTTTGTGTAATGCATCCAAGTTAAATTTATGAATTCCGATCTTGCTATACTTATGTGTAATGCATCCATGTGTGTGACTAAAGAAAAAGATTTTGGAGATTCAGTCTGTTAAACAAATTTTTGAAGTCATCGTAGTTTAATTTGTTATTATTATTATTAAAAGAGTAATGATAGGATAACCGAAAAGGAATCACCGAATTAGTATAGAATTAAACGTGATTGGTCATTCTTATCACATGCTAAATAATTATTTTTAAAAATTGTTTAAGTAGATAAGGTGGACAAAAACAAAGCAGATTCAATACTTATTTGGAGTTAATTCATCGATATCCCCATCATTATTCTTATTAAAATTATAAATATCCTCTTGCTATACTGGAGTAATTTATTATGATGAGTTGACTCTTTTGGTTGTTTATGTAATCACCAATTTATTAAAATAGTGATGATCATATCATTCTTGGCTGTCTGCTGGTGGCGGGGTGGGGTGAATGTTTGAGTTGAATATATTGTGCTTTGGCCCATGATTATTACTTGATAAATTTGTTAAATGCAGAGAGTTGAGTATTAATTTCAATCTGCATGACTCGGAGAGAGGGAGTTAAAGAGCTTTAACCATTTGCCGGTGACAGAAATGTCTATGAGGAACAGTGCCAGATTGAGTATCGTGATTTACTAAAACTTAAACAGCTTGTGTTATCACATGCTACATCACCAATCAAATCAATTGAACAAGGATTTTCTTCAGGAAATGAGAGGTTCTACACACCCACCAACCATTAATATGACATTATTATTAATGAGGGAATCCAACTTAATGATTGGTGGGTGTACAGAACCTCTCCTTTCCTGAAGAGGATCTTTATCCAAATCAACCACTTGAAGTTTCAATATCCAAGTTCCAGTATTATTAATTCACAAATCAAATCAGAGCAACATATTACATTACAATCAAGGATCTAGGTTTAATAATCCACTATGGCCAAGCATGTCACCATCCCGGGATTGTAGCATTGAGATTTTTTTGGAGAAAAAAAATATATATATTATTATTGTTTAAATAAGATAAAAGGAGGTGAAAAGAAAAGAAATGATAACAATTAAATCTACTTAAAAAGAAATGATAATAATTAAATATTATCGTATCTTTTTAAGTAGATTTGATATGAGTGGAATAACAATTTCCTTCTTTTAATTGTTGAGGGCAGTTTCGAAATTATGAAAATACTACTTAAATATTATTATTTTCCTCTTTATCTTTTTATTTTTGGAGGAATATGATATGAGTTATCCCTTTTTATTATTTTTTTTAGTTAATACTCACACACATATTTTCACTGAAGTTTGAGCTTCTGACTTCTCCATATGAGAATATTCTGTTGGCCTGGCAAAATCAATTTATTTAGAATTCAAATCACCACAATCAAAGGACATAGCTTTAATAATCCACTGTGTCTGTGTCCGTGGCCAAACATCTCACAAGTCAACTGCTATCCTTGAATATTTTATAATAATAATAAGATTACAAAAAATTATAGCAAATTAAATATAAGCAGTATCCATTATTCGGGTAAAAAGAAAATAGACTACAGAAAGACAATATCTGTTTTATTCCAAAGATAGATGTGATAACGCGATATCACAACTAAACATATTCAATTCCCATGAATTTCGACAAGTATTCTGTCTTATAACGTAAGTGTCATACTTTCGTTTTTTATTTGTTCCAAAATAAGTATTCGTTTTCTTTTTTTCAAACAATATATTTTTATATAAGTTTAAAATTTTAAACTTGAATATTCAAAACTTAAAGGGATAAGTTAATAATTTTTCAGAAAGACAATGCATGTCATATATGTTTCCTTAAAAATAACTACTCCTCATAAAGGACATTTAAATTGGGACGAAGGGAATACTAATTTTGTTGGGATGTTACTATGAATGTGTGCGCTTTTGTTAAAATTTCTTTCGATACACATAAAAAAGAAAATAATAATAAAAAAGGTGAATTTTCAAAGATGGTCCGTCATGTGGATCCAATCTGTTACAAGTGGGACTTATCCCACATCGAATTTGGATCAAAATTGAAATGTGTATAAATAAATAGATATGCAGTACTACTCAACCATCTAAATTTTTGAGTAAAATGAAAAAACATTCACCATTACACATTCCATTATGAATGAAGGATAGATGGGAATGTATATGAGAAAATATAGAAAAAATGATGGAGGGACAATTATTATTATTATTATGGGTAGAAATGAATTGAAAGTTTATATATCTTCTAAACAATATACCGCCCCCCCCTAACTTTATTTTGACTGTTATGCTTAACAATAATAAGTCCACGAGTTCTAGCCAAAATGTATATGATCAACAAATGGTCAAGGACGGCAGTCGCATTTTTGAATTTTACACATCATTATTTTAAGAATCATTCTTAATACAAGAATAAAAATAATTTGCAACAGTATTACCTAATAGATAATATTATATAAAGCAACGAACAAATAAGCAGAAGTCCAATTTTACAATTACAACAAAATAATACATGCTTCGGGAAACAAATCCACATCCAGTTATGCTTCGGGAAACAAATCCACATCCAGTTATGCTTTGGGACTCGAATTTTTATTTTATTTTTACCTGGCGGGAGGGTTGGTCAATTTTTGTTTTTGTTTTTGTTTTGGGGACTATTTGGGAGAGTCCGAATCACTCCAGATACGGAAGCAAAGTGATTTATACAAAGCTTCCTATAATATCAGACTGTTAGGAATGGTCAACCCAGAAACTTCCCCAATCTTTCAAACTGTAAGAGTTACTATATATATATACCCTTATCTCTGTTATTTTAATGTTTTCGGTGTACTTTTATCTTCTCTATTTATATCATTTTCATTGCTCCTATTTAATAATGATATATAAATAATATACGTATATACATATATACTTTTCAATTTAACACCTATTTTATATGTTTGTGGAAGAATAGGGATTTTCTGTAACCTTATGTTTGGTTGCTGGGAAAACTGAGACAGAGAGAATAAATACGTAAATTTTTACTATTTTATATACACAGTCCACACGTACATAGATACAGTGGGCACTGGGTACCGACTAGATATATTAATTTAGTTTAAACCATATGAAGATGTCACAGTTTTTTAAATGGCTTGATGTTAAAGATAAAATATTCTTGTGCATTATCTATACGATGTACTAAAATAAATGCGTGAACATGAAATTGCTGCAAATTCAAAGTGTATCTCTTACGTATATAATAAATAAGTAAAATAAATTACTTATTTATTTCAAAGAGGTTTTCTTATGTAT